TGAAAAACCCTAACTTAACTCTGGTGCCGTGTCACATATAGAAATTTTTTGATATTTGCAACCATAGTAAAACAAAGACTTATATTTTTGATATTTATTTTATATATTTAAATGCCCTTTAACAAAGAAAAATCAACCAAAAAAATGAGTTCGCGTGTCACCTCTGACACGGGTGTCATAGGTTCGCCATCACTGGCATAGGTGATTTCTTTTAATGTACATAATAAAACATAGAGTGGATCGTCTATATTTTTTTCTAACCCTTCCAGTATCTAGTCTATGACTTTTCTTTCAATTACAGTTGAATTCAATATTATTCTGTATTAATTTCAGGTGTACAGCATAGTGGTTAGAGAATCATATACTTTACAAAGTACAAATCATATACTTTATATTTCAGATACCCACCTGGCCCCATACATATTTATTACAATATTAGTGACTATTTCCCTGTGTTGTACTTTACAACCCTGTGATTATTCTGTCAGTACCAGTTTCTACTTCTTAATCCCTTCACCCTCTTCACTCAGTCCTCCAACCCTTCTCTCCTCTGGCAACCAACAGTCTGTTTTCTATATCTATGAGTCTGTTTCTATTTTGTTCATTTTATTCTTTTAAATTCCACATATATGTGAAATCATATGGTGTTTTGTTTCACTGACTTATTCCACTTAGCAAAATAAGTCCATCTAGGTCCATCCTGGCTGCCACAAAAGGTAAGAGTTCATTCTTTTTTGTGGCCAAGTAGCATTTCATTTTATATAAGGGTTGCCTCCATATCTTGAATATTGTAAATAATGCTGCAATGAACACGGGGGTGCATATATTCTTTCCAATTAGTGCTTTGGGTTTCATCAGATATATGTAGTCTATCACAACTAAAACAACAAAAGTGTATATTGTTGGTGATGAAGATATGTAGAAACAATACAGACGCAATTTTATGGATTAGTGTGGGTCTACAAAATGACAGAATTTTGCATGGTATGGCAGTAATAATAAGAGTTTTTAATAGTAATTTTTGAAGCACTTATGTAGCAGCCACCACCGTATTGACCTTTAAATATATAAACTCATTAATCTTCATATTGGCTGTGTAAGAGTGTTATACCATTTAACAAAGAGAAAACCAAGGCACAGAAAGATGTCCTGAAACAAAGCATCAGACTAGATATTTCTGGGACCTGAGTTCCAGTCCTGGGTAGACATTGGTTGGTGTGAGTTTGGGGGCAAGTCAGAACTTCCCCAGAGTGCTTTTTTTTTCTGTTTAGTGAGGGGGGGGGGGACATCCAATTATTGATTATTTACTAGGGGCAAGCGCAAGGATAAACATTTTACATGCATTATCTCATTTAATCCTCACAGTGGGCAAATGGGGTAGGTACTATTGCTCTCATTTTACAGATAAGGAAACTGATGTTTAGAGAGGTTGAGTAGCAACTGGCTGTACTCCTAAGTGCTAGAGCTGGGATCTGAATCCAGATCGGTATGTCTCCAGAGCCCATGCTCTTAACCCCTATGACGTGTCCTGCCTCAGTACCTCTAAACTCGCTGCTTCCTGTTTATAATCTCTCCTTTTAGGTTTCTCTAAGGCTGGCTCAACTCCTAACATCAGGTTTGCAGAGAGCTGTTGCTCTGGGCTGTTGCACTGCTTAACTCAGTGGTTCTCAACCTTCCTAATGCTGTGACCGTTTAATACAGTTCCTCATGTTGTGGTGACCCCCAATTTCATTGTTACAAATTGAACATAATTAAAGCATAGTGATTACTCACAAAAACATTATGTAATTATGTATGTTTTCCGATGGTCTTAGGCGACCCTTGTGAAAGGGTCGTTCAACCCCCAAAGGGGTTGCGGCCCACAGGTTGAGAACCGCTGGTTTAACTCCAAGGGGGCACTGTTTACATAGACTGTAATGGGAATGGCTCCCCATAGGAGCTGAGTAATGTGACAACTCCGTTTTCTACCATCCCATCTGGTTTCATTTTACTTCGTAGCACTCACCCCTAGTTTTATTTATATAACTTATTAGGTCAGAGACCTGTCTTATTTCCTGCTGTTTGCCAAAGACTCTGTGACAGGCCCATAGCAGGTGCTTAGTAAATTATTTTTGGATGTTCTTGAATATGTTATACTGACTTCCAAGAATCCTTTCCTCAATCACAAAGTTGTTGTAGGACAGTTTCAGAAAGTAAGTTTGGGTGAAAAATTACTTCTTACATTTTTTGTGCTTTAAGCTTTATGAGCTTTGCAGCAAATTAGGACTCTCAGTGTTATTGACCAAATAGGCATTTATTTGACAAAAATTAAGACATCTCAGAATGTGTTGGAAAAGATACTGATAACAAATATCACTTTTATATATTGGATGAGAGTAGGTTCAACCACTTTGGAAACTAGTTCGTTGTGACCTTGTAAAGTTAGCATTCACATTTCCCATGACTCAGCAGTTTCTCTCCCAAGTGGATTCCTATGAGAAATTCCTCCACTTGTTCCCAGGAGATGGTGCAGATTGTTCATAGTAACCCCATTTATGTCAACAACAACAATGGAAATAACTCAAATGTCTAATTACAAGGAAAAAAAAGACAAGTAATGTGTGTTCTATAAATTTTTGAAGCCTTGAAAAATGAATTAATTACAACTATACACAAAAACCTAGAAGAATTTTAGTAATAGAATCCTGAATTAAAACAAGCAAGTCCCAGGACATTATCTAAAAATTGATGCTCTTTTAAGAATGTTTATTTAAAAAGCCCTAAACAAGTATTAAGAACAAAAAGAAGAAGAGAATAGCAAACTCAACATTCACCCCTGTGGCCACCTTGAGTAAGGGAAAGTGGGGGAAGATTGGAAAGGAGAATACAGTTAAATGTAAGTTGCCAGTGTTCTGTGTCTGACATTAAACCACCTGCTTCAACACCATTATTTCATATTCCTCCCTCTGCGCAGAGGTAGACCCAAAGGTGATTCTTACAAGATAAGCTGGACCCAGGGTCATGTCCACTCAGTTTTGTATTCCCAGGGTCTGTGTGCAGTGTTCTGCAAAACACAAATCCTCAGTGAGGTTTCATGAATGAACAAATAAGTGAATAAATATGAGAAAGATGTGAAGTTCTTTTGGTTAATATTACATGTAGTCCAAGAAAACACTCACCCCACACTTTATCCTGCCCCTATACATAATGAATTATGTGACTGATTTTCTAATTCACTGAAAGTAAAAATACTGACATTTTCTCAGAGTAGCAAAAAATCATATAGCATTTCCCTTATAGACTATTTCATGACACTCATCAATACTAGGATGTGTAGGGACAAAATGATTTCAACTCAAATACAGTACAGAAAAAGCTTTTTAATGCATTTTTTTCCTCAAGCAAAAAAGCTTCAGAAAATATCCATCACTAAGTAGTTTTACGAATGGCACTTTTGGCTACATTAGAGAATTGGAGACGAGTCCCATGTGTTGTCAGCGTTATAATGCAACCCTTTCTTAGAATAAAAAATAGCTAATTTGTTCTAAAAGACAGGAAAAGTGAAACCCTAAAGTCACTGTTTTTAAAAATTAACATTTATTTCATGCTATACTAGCTATTTTTACCTTATAATTTTAAGTGTTATACTGTAATTTTCAATAAAGGGAGAACATAAATTTCAGTCTAATTTAAAAATAAGCATATATATTAAGTACATATATTAATGCATTTGACAATATCATAAGCTAACTTTGATGATGATCTTCATTTTGGTACACTGCAGATTTGTCCTGTTGCTATTGAACTGAGGAAAAACATATTATTCCTTAAATTCTGTCTTAAATGAGTAAAACCACGGTCAATGATATCAATAGACTCTAACCAATCAGCAAAACTGAAAAGAGTTATTCTGATCATTTATGAACAAAATGAAATGGGATTAATATTCAACAGGAGAGAACAGTTAACATCACCAGTTTAAAATAGGCCTTGAAAGTAGATTATTTTCACAGCATATTTGAAAGGAATGAGTATCTGAAAATGTGGGATTTCACTTTGAACTGAAAGCAATGATTTTTAAATTATTCATTGCTACCACTCCAACACATTCTCCTTTAAGATGGTGTGAAGTTGATCACACCTAATCTACTCAGACATGGGTATCGTCTTCATGTTACCCATCATTTCTCAACTAGTCCCCTGATCAATTTATATAATTATTTAACAGAGGTTAATGATAAAACATCAGAAAATAGAATCAATCCAAGAGGCAACCGCAATTTTCTCTCTACAACAGAATTAACAAACATATCAAAAGTGTTTTCTCTGGGAATGAAGAAAGCCATTTCAGGGATTCTCAATGAGTAAAACCTCACACGCAATACACTGCTACACACACACACACACACACACACACACACACACACACACATGCATACGCTAAAATAAAAGTTCTTAGAAATACTGCTCACTGTTAATTGAGAATAATCCTTGGTGTTACATTTAAGGATGGAGTTTCTAAATGTTAAAGCAGTTCTACCGTCAACACATCACACAAAATACTTATTTTTTTAATGATAGGATTTAACAACATGAGTCAACTAAAATGTAGACCCCTCACCTTCACAGATACATGGCACCATTTGTATTTTATAAGTACCTCAAAGCTAAAAGCCTACACTGCAGAACACTAGACTAGAAAGGACATAGGATTGCGGGGGAGGAGGGGGAGGAGACCAGTATTTGGCCCAGGCACTGTACCCAACAAGCCTCTTGACTTTGGACATGCCACCTGATGATGCCACACTTACTTCCTCATCAACGGGATAGGAAGACTAAACTGTGCTCTTCATGGCTCCATATAGCACTACCATGTCAGCATTTTCTGGCTTTGAAGTTTTCATTAGGCACTGAGCTTCATTTACAACTTAATGTTATACTTCTACCCAGAGGTTGGTCAGTAAGTTGCATCTGGATAGCTGAAGTCTTTCAATGACTAGGCAATTTCTTGGTCCTTTATTCAAAAAATAATGAATAAGTACCTACTCTTGGTGGAGAAAAAATGGCCACCAATTCTTTGCAGCTCCTCCAGCAAAAGGTAGAGGTTGTTTCCCTACCTCTTGATTCTGGGCTAGCTTTGTGACTTGCTTTGAATAACCAAATGCTATGCTGTGTGATTTCCAGTCAAGTCCACTAAAGGTCAGGCAGTTTCCATTCTCACCTGCTTTGATCTCATGTGGGGAAAGGACACATGGAGAGAAACTGAGGCACCCCAGCCAACTGCGAGACATATGCATGATCTTCCAAGATCAGCACCCCCGCCCCCCCACATCAACTCTTCACTGACTACAAATGTTTGTGTAAACCCAACCGGTACCACATGGAGCAGTGGCTGGGCCATGCCAGCAGAGCTCTGCCCAAAATGCTAACCCATAGATCATGAGCAAATACATAGTGCTATAAGGCGTGTTTGGGGGTGGTTCGTTGGATAACATGGATAGCAATGGACACACTGCTCTGTGTCAGGACTGGGCTAGGTGAAGGGATTACCTGGGTAACAAGACACAGTGCCTTTTCTGCAGAAGCTGAGGGTGTAGTTAGTGAGGCAGACGCATAATGGGACAGTTTCAAAGTAAATGCTGGAATTACAGGAGTTTGATGCGCGAGGGTCCATGGGAATTTAGAGAAGGGGCGTTAATCCCAGGTCTAAGGAGCTGGCAAAGGTTTCTCAGAGGAGACAATAGCTAAGGATAGTCAATGAGAGAGGAGTTTTTCAGGCAAAGAAGGATATTCCAGGGAAGAGAAATTGCAGGTGCAAAGGCTGGAGGGAGCATTCGCTTTAATTATAGTGTGCGGATGTCACAGGTGGACTGGAGGGAGGCTAGGGTAAAGCCATCTTGGCCTTAAGTAGACTTCTCTAGCATTTGGCCTTTAAACTGGGAGTGATGAGAGCCAAAAGAGAAAACAGTTCCTTCCCTCCTCACTCCCTCCCTTCCTTCCTTGTTTCCTTCCCATTGGTATTCATATGGCCAAGGACATCAATGACACTCCAAATCAAATAAATTTCACAGGTGTGGAGTGAATAAAGCCAGACACTTCCTTCTCTGGTGCTTAGATTGGCCAAAGGGAAGTGATACTATGCCTGGGCCAACACGAGGGGCATTAGGACGTGTACAAGTAAGCAGACAAGAAAAAGATGCCAGTTTCCAAAAGGCGGTCCTTCTCCTGTCACTTAATGAATACCTAGGGACAGAAAGTATTTAAGACTCATCCTTTAACGATGTTATAAACATTTTTTAAAGCCGAATGGTAAGGCCTCCTACTTACTAGTGGTGTGGCCTTGGGCATAAGATGAACCTCTTATGAGTCAGTTTCCTCAGTTGTAAAATGGGGATAATGACATTGACCTCACAGTCCAGTAAGAATTAGCAATGTATAATTTTAGCACTGCACCTGGAACAGAGTAAGCCTTCAACAGAAGGTCCCTACAGGGAGAAAGGCTGGGGGTGGTGACATGGGCTTTAACATTGAATAAACCTGTTGTTGAATCCGGGCTACTATCACTTAGCAGTTTTTGCAGCTGGGTGAGCTTAGAGACCATTTTTAAACTTGCTCATACTTAGTTTCCACAACCACAAAGTGAGGATGATTAATATCTATCTGGCAGGGTTGTGATGAGGATGAAAAGAGATTATATTTGTTAAGAGCGATAGCACAAGGATTGGCATACAGTATAAACGCACATATGATCATATGCATGGAGATGACAATAGTTCCCAAATGTAGATCGGCAGCATTAATGTTAGCCATTCTGTCTTACTTCTAAATCCTATTCTCTAAAACTACAGATCAGGAAAGTTGGACTGCCAGAAACATATACATGTAGCATCTTTAACATGGTATGTCGATTCTACCAGTACCAATACATGATGATACCCTATCACAAAATAATGGCTGAGGTACATCATTCATATTTTATTTTGTTAATACAGAATAAGAAAGTAACCTCATTGTTCAGAATGCATTATATGAAATGAAGAAGAATTCAGCATTCCCTGGCTCCTTAATTTGGCACTTTGAGGAATTTCCTCTATACACCGAGCCCCAAAATACATTCTTTTCTACACCAAAAAAAAGAAACATGCATATATACAAGCGAGCTGAAAAGTTACAACACAAGACTTGCTTTTGGTGAAAAATATTCCCGCCAAATAAATAGCATGTCATGTTATACTAGAAAGCTAGTAAAGATTCAGGCCAGTAAGGCAATTTAGTTTCAAGTTTTGTCACATATGGGCCAAGTTCTAGAACACTTCACTTACAAAAGGGACACCCTCAAAGTGAAATCTTGTCAGAGGCTTGATTCTGAAGTATATGTGCATATACAAATGTCTCTGTTTTGACATTCAACACATTCAGCATTGATTCCAGAAAGCTGTTATAGCTGATAGAACAAATGATTTTGGTTCAGACAGAGAAAATGGAGCAAACAAGTTTAAGTAGTATCTCCCTATCTACGACACCCATATCATCACAGAGTTTTTGCTTTTTAACTAATGCTGTAGTTGAAAACATTTGTTGAGTTAAAGTTGACACTAAAGGCAGGAATTCAGAAAAAAAAGCCATTTTTTTTTTTTTTATGGCTGTAAGCTCTTGAAAGCTTTAGATCCTCCTCCAAAATGCTAATTAACAGGTACTATTTCTTTAACTGTTGCTTTAATTTGGGGCTCAGTGGAATCTAGGTTCTCTAATAAACAGTTCCATGTTCATTTTGGTGAGAATACAGTTGAAAGCCTGTAAAAAATCCTCTATTGACTCCTACGAAGGAGATTTTAGCGAGTTGCTGTTTTGGCTAGAGAAACATTTCAACAACTTTCTGCAAATTAAAATAAGAAACAGTGAATGAGAACTACCAACAGAAATCAAGTAAAGCAATTCTATCCATTAAGGAAATTCTGTCCCAAATATTTTCTACACTGACGTAAGTTGCTGTTTTTAAGATGTATTACCCGGTTCTTCCACATTCAAAATGGTGTATGAAACTCAAATCAAGGTGTGTCTATACGAAGAAAAGGTTTGTATGTCCAGAGCCATCCATGTGCATGGAAGTCTTGTCACTGCATTGCGTTGTGTTGTTTTGGCTTTGCTCATCCACAGCCACTCGAAGTGCCAGGAAGGCCACCCGCTCAGCACTCTAACTCCTCCATGACTTCCATGACAATGGTCCGTGGGCCCGTCAGAATCAGATTGCTCACAGTCCGGTAGTCCACATGCAGCACGTTGAGCCCATTGACAGAGACGACAAACTGACAGACCTGAAGGCAAGATCAAGAAAAAGCATCTATCATGGCTCCTGGTTTTCACAGACCTCTAACAAAGACATTGTATAGCTCTCCCAGATCACGACATTCTTTTATTTTTATTTCATCAATTTCAGAGAGGAAAGGAGAGGGAGAGAGAGAGAGAGATACATCAATGATGCGAGAGAATCATTGATCGGCTGCATCCTGTATGCCCCACATTGGGGATCAAGCCCGAAACCCAGGCATGTGCCCTGACTGAGAATCGAATGGTGACCTCCTGGTTCACAGGTTGAAGCTCAATCACTGAGCCACACCAGCTGGGCGACATCATTCTTAAAATGCCAACCACACCCAGCTGACAACTGCAATTCAATCATTTCTAAGAAGCTACACTTTTTCTGGAAGGCAACATAATGGAAAAAGCATTTGTTGTAGCGTTTTACAAAACTGGATTTAAATCCCAACACAGCAATCATTAGCTTAAGCTATGGGTATTTACATTTCTGAGCTTTATTTTCCTCAACTCTAAAGCAGGGATGATTAATAATAATAACAATAATACCGCAGTGCTTGAACCTATGAAATATTCAATACATTATCATCATCACAGTATTTATGGCTGTTATTATTCATTTGGACCCAATGCATAGGGAGACCCATGGCCTAGTGTTCCCAAGACAGTCCTATTGTTTTATACCTATTGTTCCTGCATAGTTATTAGTTGTGCCTCCTTTGACTTGAAAAGGTGTACCAGTTGAAGTAATAAATTCCACAAATTTCCCTATTCCCCATCCTTATGAGGCCAACAAAGGTCAACTTTTATATTAAGTCAGTGTTACTTAACCTGTAATAGGAGAGAGAATTACAATAAGAAAGTAAAAGGGCATCATTCAATATTGAGAGGCCACTGTGGATACATCACAGAGAGCTTCATACTGATCCACAGCCACTGCTTCAAATAGAACGACTTCTCCTGAACTTGGTGATGGCATCAGGTACTGTGTACCTTTCGTTAGCTGACATGCATGAACAGATGGTGTATCTGTTGTGCGTCTGGAGATATTCGATATGAGCAATTTGGTTATGTCACTCAAATAGAACAATGGAGAGAACATAGATCGCCAGCTGTCAGTGATAAGAGCAAAACAGAATCAACTGACACATGGTAGGTACTTACAGTAGGCTAAACAATACCCCACCCCCAACGATGTCCATGTCCTAATCCCCAGAACCTGTACATATGTTACCTTACATGGCAATGGGGAATTAAGGTTGCAGATGGTATTTGGGTTGCTACTCAGCTGAGTTTTTAACAGAAGGAAGTTACCCTGGGTTATTCAGGTGGGTCCTGTGTCATCACAGGCAAGAAAGTCAAAGGCAGAAGTAGGAGAGGTGATGACAGAAGCAAACGGCTGGAGTGACACAAGGAAGGTGCCTCTGGAAACTGAAAAGAGCAAGGAAATGGATTCTCCCCTCAGAACCTTCAGAAGGAATGCAGACCACTTACGGACACCTTTGTCTTAGACTTCCTACCCCAGAACTACAAGGTCATACATTTGGGTTAAGTCAACAACTTAGTGTTCATTTGTTACCGCAGCCATAGGAAAACTAATAAATATTCCTGTTGAATGAACTGAATGAATAAATGTAATAAGAAAAAAAAGGCACAATTAGGATTGAACACGAAGGGTTTTTTAATTCTTATAACTTATACCTTCACTTACTGGGTTGCTTTTTGTGTCACTTAAAAATCCCTCAACCATATGTAAACTTAAACATTTATTTCAAATTGTTTCCTTGAATGAGGAAAAAAAAAAGGAAAAAAGGAGCCATTTTATCATGCTTATTTTCAAGGTAGTATTTTTAGAGCCAGGCTGTTAGGAAAGATGTCATCTCTCCCTAAGTGGTCTTAACAGCTGCCGTGGTTCCAACAGTTCCAATGTTCTGTTACTAAAGATGTGCAAAATGATCAAGAAATACAGGTAGGACTATGTAACATATTCAGTTATAATGGACTTTGATTTGGCCTCCGCGGTACACTATGTTCTGCAAATAAACACACATTACAAGTAACTACAGGGAGTGCACAGCCTAGGGGAAAAAAATCATTTTTCTTCTATATTAACAAGCAAATATGTGGAAACAAACAGGAACCGTGATGACCTCTGAGTAGACCTACCTACCTTAGGTACATATCACCCCTTACCTGGGCTCAGGAGACTTAAATGCCACCCATAGGCGGTAATGAAAATTCAAGTGAGATAAAGATGCTTTTTTCCTGCTTTCTAATATTTGATTGCAATTCTCATTGCCCCAGTTCATAGACAAGAGATCAATCATGAGCTCATGTACATTCTCTAAACTCAATCTACAAAAAAATGTAGTCCCTTAAATTCATAAAGAAGGTACACAGAGGACATCATCTTTAATGAAAAGGAAGAACAGAACCTTCCTTAAGGCATAGGTGAGTGAGGTCTCTGACCACAGTAGGTGGGGAAAGCATTGACAGGAACAGGGAGGCAGGACTCAGTACATTTCAGGGTGTGATCAGTTGGGATAAGTACCTAGGCTGAACTCCAGCCTTCCGCCTGATAAGGAGCCAAACCAACCAAATAATCTTGCCTCTAATTCCTTCCCTGCACCAGTCCTGGCAGATGTCAGACAACCCTCCGGATGGATTGAGTGCCCATGGGATTGTGCAATTACACACTGGTTTTCGTATGTTTGGAGACAGATCACAATTATTCAGTTGTTTCATCCAAAGTGGGAGTGAGGTTAGGGAGAAACACTACACCTATGATTGCACAAGTGTCTTCTCACTGCCATGGAAATCTGTCTTCGCCAAGACACTTCCCTGAAATGGCTCTCTCTCTCTCTCTCTCTCTCTCTCTCTCTCTCTCTCTCTCTCTCTCTCTCTCTCTCTCTTGCTTCAGGCTTCCCATAAAAATAATAAAACATTTAACAAGACACAGACCAAGAGAGAGAGAGTTTCAGAGACAGAAAGAGTCGTAAGAAGAAGAAAGACACAGATACAGACACAGAAAATAATCAGGAAGAGCTGAGTCCTGGTTAGCAGGGTGTAGAAGCCTATCTAATAAAAGATGCAGAAAGCAGACCAAGATGTCAAGTGCAAATTAATACATTCTTAATCCAACAGAACATTTGGATGCATTCTAGAGACCATCCTATCAAGCTCCCATTAAAAGTAGAACTCTTCTTCAAATCCATACCAACCAGCCAGCCTATCTTATTTGAATGCTACTTATGACAGGAAATGCACCAATTAATGAGGAAGCTTTGGGGTGGGGGAGCAGTTGCATGTTAGAAGTTCCAATTAGATGGGAAAAGGGGTGGAGATGGAAGAGGGTATGGGGGTGGGGGTGGGGAGATGGTGATGGAGGAAAAAATATATATATATATAGCACTCAAAAATAAAGTTCCAGTCAACATTATCTGAACTATTTTCATTGTTCAGTTGCTAAAGTGAAAAGTGCAGCCAAATATAAAACGGCCCTCAAACTGTAGTGCAAATATGAGTCACTTTTGGGGGCTTACTGAATATGTGAATTCTCATCTCACCCAAGACCTACCAAACCAGACTCTATGAGGGTGGGTCCCAAGAATCTGCATTTTTGTTGAATATATGAGGTGATTTTAATAAAGCAGTATGTTGAGAAGCAGTGCTATAAAGTATACACTAGAATTTTTTCTACCAAAAGTTATTTTAAATGCTCATCCCACACCTGTAATATAATAATACATTCTATGACCATGAACATTAACAGCCTTAAGTATATAAGAGGGAGACTGGCATTTCAGTTTTTATTATAATTATTACTTGCCTGAAGTCTACTATTTTTAGAGCCAAATTTTGCTATCTTCTAGACTTCAAAATTATTAATAACAATGTATAAAGTGCTGATCTTTAGCACTATGATCAGAGATAATATCCAAGTTGCTCAAAACTCAATAACAACACCAACCAAAACTGCTGCCATGGTAGAGCACATGTACTTATTTTAAAATGTGTTTTTATTGATTTCAGAGAGAGGAAGGGAGAAGGAGAGAGAAACAATGATGAGACAGCTGTTTTCTGCATGCCCCCTACTGGGGTTCTAGCCCACAACCCAACCCAGGCATGTGCCCTGAACTGGAATCAAACCAGCGACCTCCTGGTGCAAGGGACAATGCTCAATCAACTAAGCCAAACCGGCCGGCCAGGCTGAGCACATGTGCTCTTAAAGTCATATGTCAGCTGCCATCTTTCAATTGTTGATGTGGCAAATACATACCATGTACAGGCCTGCTGTGAATGAGGGTAGAAGCTTTCGATAGCCAAAATATCAAAAATAAAAGAAGGTGGGCCCTAACCGGTTTGGCTCAGTGGATAGAGTGTCGGCCTGCAGACTGAGGGGTCCTGGGTTCGATTCTGGTCAAGGGCATGTGCCTTGGTTGCGGGCACATCCCCAGTGGGGGGTGTGCAGGAGGCAGCTCATCGATGTTTCTCTCTCATCGATGTGTCTGACTCTCTCTATCTCTCTCCCTTCCTCTCTGTAAAAAATCAATAAAATATAAAAAAAAGAAGGTGGAAGGTGAACCAGAGCAATGAAAGTCATGAGTATATTAAGACATATTTGAAAGCTTAAAGTTGGAACGAAAAATGTTATATTTTGATTGTCCCCATTTCTTTAAACCTGCCTCCAAATCATAAATCCTGGTTTTCATAATCTGATATGAAACAAAGCACTGTCTTTTATGAATGATTTGTTATTTCTCCTGTTAACCATGCCTGTGAAAACCTAGCCATTCATTCGGTCCATACACCGAGCACACTTATTTTGTTTTGTTTTTTTTGTGTGTTTTTTTTTTGGGGGGGGGGGTCATTATGTAACTTTCTTTTCCCCCAGCTTTATTGACATATAACATTGTGTAAGTTTAAGGTGAATAGCCAGACAACTTCTGAGGTTACAATTTGCCAAATAGGTAATAGGAACACAGAATGTTTTCCCAAA